TAACAAAATAAATAAAAGAGAGAGGAGTTGGGCCTGATTAGGAGGGTGTGAGTAGCAAATCTGTTGGCCCATTTGATGCTGGTCCAGATTGACTTTTTGGGTCCTGTGTATACGCATTGACCAGCGCTTTGGTGGACTTCCAACGTGGACCACCAGATCTGGCTCCTTAGCCATCTGGCGCTTGGATCATGAGGGAGCATGGTGGGTTGCAAGCTTGAGCGCACAGGTAATAACCTGAAAAGAAATAAGAAAATACAAAGTGCTGGAGGCAGGGATCGAACCCCTGACCTCCAGCCACTAATGCCTTGGAAACTGACGTGTTGACCACTGAGGCACGTTGTTGTGTTTGTTATAACAATATAAATAATATATATTATATAAAAACAAAACAATTGCCAGAAAAGAAAAAAAACGCGCGTAATATTTGAATGGTCCAATAGAGGGATGCCATGCATCATCCCTAACCTCTCGTCCGTGGCTAAAAGTTTAAACACTTATACCAACGGACAGAAGTTCGTAGCTACAGGCATGTCCATCTCCAAAATCTTGTACAGGCCATAAAAATGAATTTTAAGGGCATGGTCGTGTTCGTCTCACCCTCTCGGTCACAACCATGTCTTTCATGGAGGTCAATTGTACCTGAAACAAAAATGCCCAAAAACGCAGGCCAAACCCTAACAATGGTGGTTTTCTATTCAGGTCAGACAAATGCAATTGAATGATACCAAACACTTGCAAATGGTTTGTAGATTCAAAATATGCTATTAGTTTGTTCAATAGATGCCAGAATGATTCAAATCGAAATCAAGAACATGGGTGAATAGCGTGAGACTTACAGTGCGTTTAAGGACCTGATAATGCTTGGTTTGGATCCAGTTAGTTTGTGTGAATGACCAGGAATCGATTGGAACAAGTCTCGACCTCTGAAAACGCCTCTAACCTGGATTTCGACCTCAAGTTTTTTTGTGATTTTTTCAGTTCTTGTTTTGCCTCTTCCAACGATTTTCAACCCCTATTTTCGTGTGATTTGCTTGCTTATGTATTACTCAGTGCATTAGGTTAAAAAACTTGGTCCAAATCTCTCTACATTGATGTTTGGATATTTTATTTGATTCCACCATTAAAACTTTCCAAACTTGCTTGATTTCAATCTTTTTTGCACACATTTGATTTAATATGAATTTGATGATAATAATTACTGTATTTGGAGCTTGAAATAGCCAAAAGATCATGTGTTATCAAAGCTTTAGATTTTATATGATTTTATTTGATTTAAAATAAATTAATTCAAATAAAAATCAAATTAAATAATAAAAATGTGATGTGGACACATGGCTGAAGCTAGAGCACGTGGGCAACTATGAAAACTCAAATCAAGTTAAAAAGAATGGGCCCATTTGGCAAAATTTGAAGTTTTGGGGATAGTTGACTTTTGACAATTTTGCAAAAAGGTCCAACTTCAACAATGCATAACTTCTTCAATTTTGAACTTTTGGAGATGTTATTTGACTTTATATAAATCTTGAGATGTCATCTAATCAACCCTTTTTGTCCCATCTCATTTTGATATTCCATTCTCAATTTATAAGCTTTGACAAAAAAGGTGTTTTTGTTGACTTTCAAAAATGACCTATAATGTCACAATTCATAACTTCTTGTGAGTGCATTTTTTGAACTTGGGGTATGAATATGGATTGTAGGGAATTTCATCCTCTTCAAAATGAGCTTTATATGGGTCATTTCTCATAAAGTATGAGAAAGTTATGCTTGGTCAAAGTTGAGTTGACTTTTCCTACAAAACCCTAATTAACAACTTTTGAGTCTTGATGAATTTTGAGCAATCCTTGATGAATCATGATCAACCCTTGATCAAATGATGAAATATCCTTCAAAATGAGAATGTTGACAAAAAATCTTGAAGTTTGACTGTATTTGGGTCACAGTTGACTTTTGCCCTAGCACAGTCGATTTTTGGACCTTTGAGCAATTGACTGAGCAAACTTCCTCTACAAGGCTTGAAACTTGACATAGATGATCTTGAGAACATATTAGGACATTAGGGATCACTTGAGGTTATTTGGACTCAAGGATCTTGATGCAACACAAAACCCTAGTTTGGGGTAGACTGCCTTAGGAGATAACTTGTCTGGCCAACCCTTGGACTACCTTGAACAACTTGGAGATTTTTCTTGCAATGTTTTGAGAAATATGGGAGGGCAAATTTTGGGGTACAACAATAACTCTTAGATATTTGTTAGCAACAAAAGTTTCAACGCAACTACCAAGATTTCTAATCGTTGAATGTCATATGTGAAAATGAAATCCACATTCATTTGGAGCTTCAACTACTTTGTCTTGTGCGTTCCTTTCCTCTTGTTTAATACTTGGAAAGACTCCATAGATTATTTCAAGAGGGTCTCACATTTCCTTGCCGGAATTGCTTTTAAGGACATAAGAAAAATGATTTACACTTAAAGTCATAACCAAAATATTTTTAGTTTTAAAATCAATTTTAAACTTTCTCTTGTCTTCTTAGGGTCCAAAGAAAATCAAATTTATCTACTACTTAACCATTATTATTTCCCATAATTCGAGATTAATACTATCAATGAAAATTTTAACTCTAACTTTCCATAATTCAAACCTAACACCACTAAACAGTAGATGTGTGTTTAGAAAACTCCTCTTGTTAAAAGAAGTGTTGGATGTCATCTTCCTTCTGAGATGATTAGTCTTTTTAAACATAGAGTTAAACTATGATTCACTTGTTGGACATGTGAATCCATACACATGAGATGAGTGAATTATAGGGGTTTGAAAAACTTTGATTTAAAATAAAATCATTTGTAAAATCAGAGATTGAAATCATTTTAAAACAAATGATTGATTAAGCTACGAAGACGGTAAAGTAAAGAGATAAGGGATAGAAAGATACATTAGAGATTTATATATGTTTCGGCCTAAATTTACCTAGTCATATCTCCAAGAATTATTCTTGGGGGTATCTAATAAACTTGAAAGCTTTTAGAAAGATATGCCCATAAACCCCCCCTTATACAAGGAAAAGAAATTTTGAGGCTAACTTCAAACGAAAAAATGAACTAGGCTTATAGTACTTATCCTTTAAACCTAATTGATATTTTTCATAGATTGCTCTTGAAACAAGACGGAGTTATGAGTTGGATATCCTCTTTACCGAACTGGGGTTATTTATAAGTTGGCCACGCACCGAAGTGAGATTTTATATTGTTAATCTCAAACTGACTGGGTTTTTACCTGGCTAAACTCAAGAACCAAGTGGTATTTTAACGAGGTAGATCTCAAACCGTTCTTTTAAGCCAGATAAGCTCAATAATCATTGTGGATATTTTAATGGTTGGATTCACGATCCAAAAGAGAGTTTTTTCTTCTTGGCAAAACTTATAAACCAAATGAAAACTTATTAGAACAACCCCCAAACAAAAGAAGCGTTTTAAATTGGTTTAGCTCGCAACCAAAATAACTTCCTACAAAAGAAATATTTACTTAAGAGGTAATACACTCTTAATAAATTTACAATTAAGCCTTTTTTCATAACAATGATCCTCACTTAGACTTAAAAATACTCTCAAATCACTATGACTGAATATATGTGATAAAAATGAGAGATTTAAAAAAATGATAAGAGAGATGAAAGTGAAATCAAACCTCTTTTTTTGAATGATTAAAAGTGATAGAGAAGCTCTTATTTATAGGTAAAGGCATGGTATAATTTGGAAACAATTCATTGGTTAAATCCAATAATCGATTTCTTAGAGCACAAATGGAAAATTTAATATTTAGTCATTATCAATCATTAAGAGATTTTTCCAAATCCCAATCGACTTTAGACTCTAATACGTGTGGGAGAGAAATTGAGTCTTATGAAAAGAAGAGGTGGGAGGTGAAAGGAATACAATTTTTGGTGTTTTTGCATTAATCTTGATCAAATACATTAATGTAGCTAAATTAGTTTTTGTATCTAGCTGCTAATCAAAATATTGTGGCGGCGACTCTCTAGAACATATAGATGTTATTTTAGTTCTACACGGTCATAGTAGTATTGGCAGACTGAAAAAGGGTTTGTATTTTCAAATATTAATTTTTCGTCATCGGTCATACTAGTTTTAGATTGGGCTATTAATCTATGAGCAACTTATAAAAGAAAAAATTTGTGAACAACTCTGGTAGTATATATCCTTTAAAAGAATTAATTCCCCTTGATAATTCTCTATATGACACCCAATTGGTTTATTGAACTGGAAGGAAAGAGGTTGCTTATTATATTACTTAGTCATACAAGGATTTGCAATGGATATAAAAATATTTGCAAACTGAAATACTAATGATCAGATTTATTTATTTTCTAGGTAAATAAAGAACAATGAATCCTTTAATTTTTTAAATACGGCCCTATATTAAATTCTCTATATAAAAGTTAAGAACCATGCCTGGCTCATGATATGGCAGAGCGGCAGTTGTTTGGCAATTAATTTGGAAATTTAAGGAATTCGAAGTTCATAAGGAAACATGTGAGGACTGAATTAAATCATCGTTTTTTAATATGCAAACAGTGGTAGATTTCATTTATTCTTAAATGACAATACACTGATAATATAAGAAGTCTATACTACCTTTCAAACATATATATAAAGATTAGACACCTAATACAGTCATATAAGATTCAAATAGTCAAATTGCAATTCGCAGCTTCTCTGATACACATTAAAGACACGTGAAATATAACAGAATATTTCAAATGAACAAAAAGCTAGCACCAAGGAGAAACAGGAGATATACATAATCGTCAAAATTTAAACAAGCACATAAAAAGTTCAATAGTGACCAGTGGATTAAAACTGTAAGGGCACCAAAACTCTTTAGAGATTCGCTGTTAGTAGCTGTCGCAAATAACAATTTTCCAGAATAGGTCAGAATTTGCCAAGGCGTGGCAAGCATCTGATGTTTTAATGATCACTAGATTACATTCTGTCTTCTCTCCTCCTTGGAGCACAAGTTATGATTTCATCAACTCTAAGGATCATCTCAGCTGCCTCTGTTGCAGATAGCAATACAGCTTGCTTGACTTTGAATGCTTCACAAATCCCCCTTTCAGACATGTTTCCAACCTACCATAAGTACACACAGGTCAAACAATATTAGCCAAAAAGACAAAGGGAGCATGATGAACTAGCAGTCTACAGAATATTTTTCTAAAATACACAGTTAAGTCCCGAAGCACTCCTTAAAATCTAAATGTCAACAGTATAGGGTGTTGGATGTGGAGGATTCTTTGCTTTTGGGGTTAGAATACCCAGTTTAGAGTTTTCTAAAAGTCGGTTTGGGTTCTTTTAATTGGAGCAACCTGGTTAATGAGTCGGTTAAAGGCACCCAATTTTTTTAACACCTCTAGTTAAGGGGTAATAACCAAACCACGTGAGTATCAATATCTCAAATAGGCATCTCAGACTACTTAATGTTGGACTTAGGCACCCATAAGTCCCTATCATATACCACTTAACTCAACCAGCACTTACGCACAACCCTCCCACCCTCATATGGACTTTTGTCTACTATGCAGTAGATCTAATTTAGAAATAGCTACATGAATGTGATTATCAGAAACAGATCTGCTACTAACAAAGAGACAACAAATCAACATAATCAAGTCAAGACCTAAAACATTCCTTCTAAAGTGCATCTTGAAGCAGCCAACCCAAACGGAAAAAAAGAAACAATAGTAGAATGATATATTAGCAATTCAAATTAATTTCCAGTTAAATAAAGCCACCCACTCAGTATTGTACTTACAGATCCAGAGATGACATCAATTCCAGAATTACATTCCTCATTCTGGTGCTCTGCACGGAGCTGAGATATCAACTCAGCACTGTCCAAACCAGCATTATCAGCAATGGTTGTTGGGATAGCCAAGAGTGCTCGGGAGAATGCCTCCATTGCAAGAGACTTTTTTCCAGGAGTTTTCCTAGCCAACGCATCCACTTCCTTTGCCATCACCATTTCAGGCCAGCCACCTCCAAGCAAAACCCTGCTATCATTGACAGTCTGAGATAGCACACACAAGGCATCATGCAATGATCTCTCAGCTTCATCAAGAACGTGGTGGCTGCACAAAAACAGATGTCAGACTAAAAGTGCTACTAAAAATTAAAACTTCCAATCAAATTTGATGAAAACAGTTCTCTTTTTGTTTGTAATTCAAATGACTTTTTTATTACAAACATGATGATCTGAAGTGATATGTTATTAAGATTAAAGTCCCTGAACATGTAAATGAACAACACTGGAAAAGAATTTACAATGACAAAAGAAGAAAAAGTACCTGGCACCTCTCAGGACTATTGTGCATGCCTGCCCCATTGCAACACCAGAAAACTTAATCAATTTATCCTCGCCAATCATAATCTCTTCAATGAGGTCACAATGCCCAAGCTTAACAGACTCAGGGTTGTCAAAGGTTGAAGCAATATCACCACCAGTTACCAGAGCCAGTCGCTCAATACCATCAAAATCAGCATGCTCAATAGCCAATATTCCAGCATCAGCAAAGAGCTCCTCTGGAAAATTGTATATCAACTGTCTGTTAACAAAACAGTTGATGCCATGACTTATTATTTTGTTCACCTTTTCTTTCATTTTCTCTTTCTCAGCTCCTTCAATCTCAGCAACTTTAGCCATAGAGTCGACACGAACACGGGCTCCGTAAATTTTCACCTTGTCTGTGTCCATTGCAGTGTTTGCAACTAGTATTTTGGCATTCTCTATGTGCTTGGGTTGTCCAATACCAATTTTCTTGTCAAGAATAAATCTAAACAAAAATATAATCAAACTCAGAAACATAAAGATTATTTATTAGCCAGAGACTAATGCAAATAGTTCATTATACAGGATGTGATGTTGCTGATAATCAGTTGAGCTTATCCAAATTACTTTAAGACTACCTATGCAACTCAATAGAGAAACATCCAGATTCCAAGAAGAATGCAATAGAAGCATATGATACCAATGTAGTTGATGGCAATCCATGGCGGGGAGCCAAAATCCTGCCATACCAGCCGCTTTACAGCGCTGTTATAGCAGATTATGGCCAAAAACCCCACAATATTGGCTGGTATATACCATTGCATAGAGCCCAAAACCACCATGTATACAGCCATAGCGTCGCCACAGCAAATATTTGATAACATTCTATGATACTCAAACTAAATATTATAATTATCGGAAATATTACCCTTCATCTAAAAATGAGTCTATAAGTGATCCTCCAGGCTTCTTTATAATCTGGATAGATTCTAGATTTGTGCTTCCCTGCAAAATTTAATTTTAAAAAGGAAATGAAAATGTGAAAATGCATATAATTTATATTATAATGATAGAGATCGCTGAGAGAAAGAAAAACCCTAAATACATGGCTAAACCAGAAGTACAAAAACAGGAATCACTATAAATTGTGAACTGGAACGTTCAGTATTTTAAACCATTGGAAAAAAGGGGAAAACCATTGTCATAAACATACTGCTATAACCTGGCAAAAATATAAGAGTACTGCAATCAATGTTCTGAATAATATACACTTCTAAGTATTTGGCCAAGCATGCAGAGAAGTTTATAGATCAAAAGTGTATCTATTGTTTGTTTATAGACTGAAGTTTTCCACAAACGAACCAAACGATAAAACCAACAATTCATACACTATTTGCTAAATCCACAAAAACTAGACACTATTAGTAGGGAAGTCAATGTTTTCCTTTAGTCTCAATACAACATCTACAGCTGATTTGGTAAAATATATACCATGGTCATGAAAAAGTGTTGTAACCAAGCTATGACTAAAATACACTTATAAGTATTATATAGATCACAGTTGTGTCTGATTTTTAGTGTGATATTTTTCCACAAATAGTCCAAGAAAGAAAACTTAGCAACTGTGCATCACGTTTTTCTAATACCCCCAACACTGGACTCAATTAGTAAGGTAGTAACCGTTCACCTTTAGTCTCATTACAGCATCTACGGCTAACTTAGCAAAATGCTCCTTGTCTTGTGATAGAATTTTGGAGCTCAAAGTAGTCCTTGCAATGTTCATTAAGTCTGACCTGAATTTCTCTTCACAATGGAGTACATTTATGTATAAGATATTAGACAATAGAATGCATATCACACCCTGCTATAAACAAAATAATGAAACCAATTCTAATAACAAATAAGTATTCAAAGGCTACAGAACCAATGGTAAAACCAAATCCCCAAAAGAAACATCAAAAAGGGAAAATACATACCAGCATCGTCTTTGTTGTCCACAACCTTTGCAACCAATGTATCACGAGCACACTCAGCCGCCATTCGGAAACCTAAAAATCATAACCAATAGTGCAAATACTATGGTGTTAATTTATCAAGGCATCATTTGAAACCAAACAATACAAAAAACTGCCCTATGGAGAGAAGCAACAAACATGCAAAGTCTATAGAAATTATTAATGGCCTTAACTTTGTAAATTAACCTATCACAACGGAATTCGAAAAATTGCTGGAAAGCAAAGAAATAAATTAACCTGCTATTATAGTCATTGGATGAATTTTAGCTGCAACCAGCTTTTCCGCCTCCCTCAAAAGTTCCCCAGCCAAAACAACAACCGAGGTTGTTCCATCGCCAACTTCATCATCTTGAACTTTTGAAATATCTTGACTTATATTAAGGATGACCATCTTCAGATATTAACTTAAATATATTTCAGTTAAAAAATAAAAACAAAACCACAACAGTGGCTTATGAGTATCTAGATGCTCTGCAAGTACAATATTTTTCCTGCCTTAAATATTACTCGAAGCAATGAACTACGCTATCACCGCTACAGTTAAAAAAACGATAAGGATACCAACAAGAACTTTAGCAGCTGGGTTATCAATGTGAAGCGATTTCAAGATCGTAGCACCGTCGTTAGTAACAGTTACTTCACGACCTCTACCAGTCGACTGCAAAATCTTATCCTGCAATCATGATCACATATATGTGAATCACTTAGAATTAGTTCGAATCAGTAAAAATCTTAACCAACGAAAACGAGATTTTACCATTCCCTTCGGCCCTAACGTAGTCTTAACCAAATCAGCAATAGCCATGGCACCAACAAAAGAAGACTAAATCACAAAACACATTCAGTTAGAGTTAACACCACAAAGAGAATAATGGCAATACACGAAATCGTAACGGGATCACTCACCATTCGTGCGCGTTCTCCTTTCTCTTCACTTGCTTCATCTTTGAAGATTCTATCGATCTGTAGCATACACGATACGAGAAAATTTTGAAAATGAAAGTTGGAAAGGGAACTGAATGAGAAGATCGGTGGAAGTAACTTACCGCCATTGTGGGAACTCGAAATAGAAGGAGGAGAGATGGTGAAGAAGAAATGGAAGATCGGAGTAGAAACGAGAATGAAGCAGAATTGCAGTGGCGGTGAAGGGTTTTCGGATTTTGATTAGAACTTATGTGACTCCTGAGAGTTGTTAAAAATGAGAGGAGGAGTGGGATCGGAAGTGAAGTAGGCGGTGAAGTCGCCGCGATGAGAAGGTGGGGATGAGGTGCGAACGGCGCATCTGTATTGAAAAGGCTGGTTAAGTTTGTGATGATGGACAAAAATGGCTTGGGCTTAGCGTAATTGATATCTCCACCTCCTGGTTAGGCCCATTGTTGGCAAGTAGAAGTGATTTTAGTTAAATTTTGAGATTAAGCTTCACACCCCAGCCTTTTGTGTTACAATTTTGACATCTTGATTGAATTAGCTTGTGAAACTGGTCTTTTTGACTTGTAAAAAATGTGAACAAATATATACCTGACTCATTAATATCTTAAGAATTTTTAGGTATTTTTTGTGGATTTTTTCTAATTCATTTCCATTTTTCTTTAAATACTTTTTGCTAATGTGTTTGAAAACGATGCTTATGTGTTCGCTTATACGGTTTGATCCAAATTTCAATCGTTTCTTAGCATATAAAATTCACAAAAATGTGATTATGATTCCTTCATGCCTTAGGGATTTTTAGATAATTTTTCCTTGTTTTCATTTTCTTTTAAATCCTTTTCGTGAAGGTGTTATAATTGGCTATCGTTTGATCGAAATTTGTGTTTGATAATTGTTGAACAGCTTTTTAAGCCATTTTTTGGACCATGGTCAGAGGCTTACTTGTATATAATGGGTATGTTGTTTTGGTAATTTTTTATTGAGAATTGAATCATTTTCTAATTACTTTTGCTAGCCTTGATTCTTATGTGCTTATTGTGGTACCATTGTGTTGATGATTCGATTCGTGGACGCATTTATGCAATACTTTTTGGTGAACCTTAGGCCCTGGAAATAAGATCTTTTGCAATGATTTAGGGTCTTAGTTTCATGATTTTTCTTGATCATTTGATTTCCTTATTTGACTATTATTTGTAAAGACCTAATTGGTGATTGGTTGTTGCTTGTTTAGCCTAATTTGTGCACGAGCTTGTGCCAACTTTCTTAATCCTTTGAGATGTGATCAAGTAAGGTATCTTATGGTATAGTTGCTGACTTGAATAGTCATTTTCCTTATTTGATTCGTATTATCTTTGTGTTCCAAGAATTGGCAATTGTTCGACCTCTAGTAAGGGTCTTGGTGCTTGGATTACTTCGTAGCGCGTTGGATTTTGCTTGCACCCCATGGCTTCTTTCACTTCATTTCTATTTTGATTATTGATTACCTTGGTGTTACTTGTACACTCTCATTGTCTATGTGATTTCTTGCCTATTGCTTGTGTGATTGCCATGATCCCTTAGGAATTCGCGAAGCGATTGATTTATGATTGATTGTTAGTCTCATTACAACATCTATTGCTAATTTGGAAAAATATATATTACGCTCATAAAAAGTATAGTAACCAAGTAATGACTAAAATAAACTTATAAGTATCATATAAATCACAATTGTATCTAATTTTTTTTAGTAAGATTTTTCTACATTTGACATGTAGTCCAAGACAGAAAACATAGCAACATTGGATACACTTTTTATTAGTAAGGTAGTAAATGTTCACATTTAGTCTCATTACAGCATCTACAACTAACTTTTAAAAATGCTCCTTGTATTGTGAGAGAATTTTTTAGCTCAAAGTAGTCCTTGCAATGTTCATCAAGTCTGACCTGAATTTATCTTCACAATCCAGAACATTCATGCGTAAGATATTAGACAAAAGAATGCATGTCAGACCCTGCTATAAACAAAACAATAAAACCAATTCTAATAATAAAGAAGTATTCAAAGGCTACATAACTAATGGTCTCAAATACTTGATATGTGTAGGGATGACTATGGTTCATTGATCTATCTTTGTCGAACAAGAAGACATCCATTGCTTGGATCTTAGGTCATCTGGTCACAAACTCTAGGCAAATAAGGAAGATGGTTTCAATTGGTTTCTCCCCGTAGATTAGGGTATGTGGATGTAAGATGCGTCATTTGTGTGCATGGTTTACTTGGTTTCTCCCCACAAATTAGGGTATGTGGATGCAAGATGTGCCATATGTGAACATTCTTTTGGACTTCATTCGATTATCTCATGCTTAAAACCTAAGATTCCTTATGGAACATCAGGTTTTTGAATCAAAAAAACAAGAGGGTTGTCAAAGGTTGAAGCAATATCACCACCAGTTACCAGAGCCAATCGCTCAATACCATCAAAATCAACATGTTCAATAGCCAATGTTCCAGCATCAGCAAAGAGCTCTTCTAGAAAATTGTATATCAATTGTCTGTTAACAAAACAGTTAATGCCATGACTTATCATCTTATTCACCTTTTCTTTCATTTTATATTTCTCAACTTCTTCAATATCAACAACTTTTCCACAAACGAACCAAAGGATAAAACCAACAATTTATACACTATTTGCTAAATCCACAAAAACTAGACTTTGTATTAGTAAGGAAGTCAATGTTTTCCTTTAGTCTCATTACAACATCTAATGCTAATTTGGCAAAATATATATTATAGTCACAAAAAAGTGTTGTGACCAAGCTATAACTAAAATACACTTATAAGTATTATATAGATCACAGTTGTGCCCGATTGTTAGTAAGGTTTTTCCACAAATAGTCCAAGAAAGAAAACTTAGCAATTGTGCATACACGTTTTACTAATACCTTGAACACTAGACTCAATTAGTAAGGTAGTAATCATTCACCTTTAGTCTCATTACATCATCTACATTTAACTTTTCAAAATGCTCCTTGTCTTGTGAGAGAATTTTGGAGCTCAAAGTAGTCCTTGCAATGTTCATTAAGTCTGACATGAATTTCTTTTCACAATCGAGTACATTCACGTGTAAGATATTAGACAATAGAATGCATATAAGACCATGTTATAAACAAAATAATAAAACCAATTCTAATAATAAAGAAGTGTTCAAAGGCTACATAACCAATGGTAAAACCTAACCCTCAAAAGAAACATCAAAAAGGGAAAATAAATACCAGTAACTCCTTTATTGGCCATAAACTTTGCAACCAATGTATCACGAGCATACTCAGCCTCCATTCATAAACCTAAAAATCATAACCAATAATGTCAAATACTATGGTGTTAATTGATCAAGGCATCATTTGAAACCAAACAATACAGAGAACTACCATATGGAGAGAAGCAACAAACATTCAAATAAACCAAAATTATTAATGGCCTTTAAAGCATCAATATCAAAAACTCGAGTGCTTATGTTTCTAATACTTCCCGCATTTTTTCTTTTTCACTCGTCTTTCACGAAAGATGAAAAGTTCACTAACAATAAAACCAAACGAAAGGAAGAATATCGGTGGTACCATCGGAAATAATAAAATTAATATAAGTTAAACTCATTGACTACTTCTGTTACCCCCATTAGATCACATGTATTGATAAAGGAAAATGCTTATTAGTAAGAAAAAGTGAAAACAAGAAAGACAAGAATAAATCGCAATCACTCCTTATCACAACCACCCCATGATCCCTATTAAAAAGGATATTTAATTAATAATAAATTAAAAATTATCCACTAAATTAATGACATGTACATTCTTGTCTATATTGTTCAAATTGTTTCGTACTAAATAGCATTAGTCATTATTAAATTGGTTCCAAATGTAACTACAAAGATGTAAAAACTAAATCATTGAAACTTAAAACTTTCTACACTTATTTGATCAATATCAACCTTCAATGTATCATTCAAGTGTCGTACAATATACATAATATTATGAACAATAAGGAAAATGTAGCTTTCATCAACAACTCAACTAACTTATTGGCATTAACTTCGTAATACATTCCCTATCACAACGGAATTCGAATAATTGTTGGAAAGCAAAGAAATAAATTAACCTGCTATATAGTCATTGGATGAATTTTAGCAGCAACCAACTTTTCTGCTTCCCTTAAAAGATCCCCAGCCAAAACAACAACCAAGGTTATTCCATCGCCAACTTCATCATCTTGAACTTTTGAAATATCTTAACTTATATTAAGGACGGTCATCTTCAGATATTAACTTAAATATATTTAAGTTTAAAAAACAAAACCACGACGGTGGCTTATCAGTATCTAGAAGTACGATATTCTAAATAATAAGGATACCAACAAGAACTTTAGCAGCTGGGTTATCAACGTGAAACAATTTCAAAATCGTAGCATCGTTGTTAGTAATAGTTACTTCATGACCTCTACCAGTCGACTGCAAAATCTTATCCTCCAATCATGATCCCGTATATATGAATTAGTTAGGAATTAGTTAGAAATCCATAAGAATCTTAACCAACATATTAAACAAATGAAAACGAGATTTTACCATTCCCTTCGGCCCTAGCGTAGTTTTAACCAAACCAACAATAGCCATGGCACCAACAAAAGAAGACTAAATCATAAAACACATATCTGTATGGTTAAGACCACAAATAAACTTATGGCAATAAACGAAATTGTAACAGGATCACTCATTATTCGTGCATGTTCTTTATTCTCTTCACTTGCTTCATCTTTGAAGATTATATTGATTTGTAGCATTCACGATACGAGAAAGTTTAAAAATAGAGATGAAAGATGGAAAGTGAAACGAATGAGAAGATCGGTGGGAAGTGACTTACCACAATTGTGGGAAATTGAAATATAAGGGAGAGAGATAGTGAAGAAGAAATGGAAGATCAGAGTATGAACGAGAATGAAGCAGTGTCGTTCTTGAATTACAATTGCGGTTGTATTGGCTAGGTTCAAGGAAATGGAAGCCCTAAAACCTGATATGTGAAATTGAACCAATAACCCCCCCCCCCCCCCCCCCCCCCCCCGTACTACCTGCATACCCCAAAAAAGTTTAAGATACCCAATTTAATAATAACTAACAAAATAAAGAATTGATATTCTTTATAATTTATAAGAAAAACCTTGAGACCTCATTCATTCTTAAAGAAATATAAAAATAATTTTTAAATGTCATACCTTAATATAAATGGTGTGAGCATGATTTTCCCTTTTACTTTAAGTGTGATGTTTCACTCAACAATCTTAGTGAATTATCCAATGTCATTATATTGATATAAAGAGATAAACTGATTATAATCATGTTTGAGTCGATTAGAAATTACTTTATGGGTAGGTTTGCCATAGGGAAAAAGTAGAAAATTTCAAGGATGATATAATTTCTAAACCACTTAAGATAGAGAGATAGAAAAAAGTGCAAGCTGGTTGACAACATATGCATGTAGAATAACATTTCAAGTGACACATGTGATGTTCACAAATAGTTTTGTTATAGACTTATCAAAATAAACGTGTTCATGTAACTTTTTGGACTTGGTTAGGATCACATGTAGACATGTTGTTATTGTAATCCATATGAAAATTGATGATCCTTCCAAGTATGTACATAAGTGTTATCATATGAACACCTATCTAAAATGCTATAGTGAGGTTGTTACCATATAAACGGACAAAACAAATGGCCCAAGACTATTGATCTTAAAATCTTGCCGCCAATATTCAAGAGAGGTACAAGAAGGCCAAAGAAACTCTGTAAAAGGGAACCAAATGAGGCATTCCCAATAAGATGGCAAAAATCAAACACAAGCCACATGTGCAGGACGTGCCTAGAATATGGGCACAATAAAATAACATACAAGAAATCTAAACAACTTACAATTATTCCTTATCAGTTGGCAACTGGTGTTGAAACACCCACTCAAGCTAGCCAAACTCCAAATGTCCAAACAGGACCAAGGAAAAGGGTTAGTAGTTAACATTTTCTTGAATTTGCTATCACTTATTCTTGAAAATTATTTACAACCTTTTTTTTGTATTGTTATTGTATTTCTTAAAAGGTTGGATCAAAGGTAACAAAGGAGTCCCAAGTAAAAAAGAGAAATATTCACACATTTGTAACACAAACAATTGTTAGAACACGGGCTTCTGATGAACTTGTAGTACAAGCTTCTGATGGACCTGTAACCCGTGCTTTTGTGGAACCTGCAACACAAGCTTTTATGAAACTTGCAACTCAAAATTTTGTAGAAAATGATGATGAAATTAAAATTTTTGGTGGGATAGATGTTGAAACCTTGTCTGCATAGTTGAATGATAAGTACATTGGAGAGAATGGCATACTAGACATTCAACCAATTTGTGTTGATACAAATACTTCCAAACAAAATGTTACTGCGAAACCAATGTCAACTGGTGGTGTCAGAACATTTATTGGAAAAAGATCAAAAATGAATAAGCCTACTAATGCATTCAAGAAACCAAAATTTTCTAAGCAATCTATGAGTGGTCCTGTAAGTTGTTTTAGCATTTATCGTGTAAGTTATTTTATGTTAGTTTTTTTCTTAACACTATTTTATCATAACAGATCAAACGTATGATCCCAACAAGTAAATAAGTCAATTATGTTCCAATTCCAAAAAGACAAACTGATAGACTTAGGACATTGATAACCAGGGAAATTGTGGGACTTTGGATGCATGCATATGATCCATTATTGGTTCCTAATGAAGAAGACAAAGTTGGCATTGATGCTAAGAGGAAGAAGACTTAGGGTGACACTCAGAAGGACATGTCTCGGTGAATTATGGTCTCTATTATGAATTATGTATTTTAAAGGGTTTTCACTTTTGTAATCTGATGATTATATGTCATCATAACTTGTCATAACTTATGTACTCTTATGTATTATTTGGTGTACTTTATTTGTAATTATGAAAACATCAATCATATGTACTTTTTTGCGTACCATGTTTGGATCAATGAAAACATCAATGTTTTGTTTAAATATTATGTGGTTTTTGTAACATCCTGATTTATATCATCTATTTTATTAGTTATTTATTTATTTAATTATTATATGGTATGATAATTATTTTATTATGTGGTTATGTGTTAATTTTGTTATTTGGGTTATTAGGTGTAATGATGATAAAAATAAGTAATTGGGCCTAATAATGAGAAATATAAGTAATATGGGGGTGTGAACTACTAAACCCAATAAAAGAAACAATAGTTAGTGAGGGATTTGTGAAAAACAAAGATTAGAATATCATTTGTTAAAAAAAAAGAAGAGAAGAACTCAAGAGAAGAGGAATAGGAGAAAAGAGAGAAGTGGAGGCTGACCCTAAAGTATTCATCCTAAGGAGGTAAGGGGGAGTTTTCATATTATTGTGGGTTTATATCATATGAGTAACGGGTAGAAAACATTATGTAGGAATGGGTATCTCAAATTTTATGTTTTTGGTATGTTTAGGTTTGAGATAGATTTCATGAAATTGATGTTAGAAACATGATTTGATGTTTATG